CCCCCCGCGTGGCGAGCCCCGCCCCGACCCCCGGCCCCGCGGCCGCCGCTCAGCCGGCGCCCCTCGCCCACCCCGTGGAAGTGCTGCTGTAACGCCTGCGCACAGCAGCCGCCCCAGCGCAGCGCCTGCCCCTTTGCGACCAGAGGCAAGACCAGCTGGGCCTTGGAGGGGAACGAGCCTCCGCGCCAGCCACTCACGGGGCCCTGCTGCCGGCCTGCCCCGCGCTCCTGCTCCTCAGCCTGCCGGCGCAGAATGGGCTCGTCTCCTGGCCCCGGCGTGCCAGCATGCCCAGCGCCGGCTCCCTGCCCCCTCCCTGTCACCCTCTTGTCAGGGCACCCCCCCATCTCCCCACCGCCGTCTGGCAGAGAGATCGCTCCACGTGCCACGATCCTTAACCAGAGCCGTCGGGGGGAGAAGGGCTGGGCAGGGACTGACGTGGTCACAGCCGCCGTCACCTGGTGCTTGGCCCTTGAGGCACTTACAAGAGGTGGTTGAAGCTACTGGGGCTCCTAACCACGAGCTGGGACTCCCTCCTTCATTTTGTTTAGCAAAAGCCAGGGGGATGTCCACAGGAGAAAGACCAGGCCTTTGCCCCGGCACATCACATTTCAGAGACCGGCTGCGAACGCGTGCTCTTGTGGGGCTGGAAGGGGCCTCCAGAGGTCGCATCTAGTCCAGCCTTTGCCCAAACCATCCCAGACAAATCCACTGTGCAGCCTCTCAGGCAAACTACAGTCAACCCTGGTGCGGCACCTGACCCTGTCGCAGGGAAAGCAGGGGCATCAGGGCAACCAACGTCCTGCTGCTACAAAGGCTCTTAATATATGCTGGAGAGATCCCAGGCAGGACCCTGGGCCAGGGGCAAGAGCCTCCAGCCAGGAACCTCTGGGTTTCAGTCCCAGCAGGAGCGCTGGCACAGCAGCTGCGCAACCCTCAGCCTGCTGCAGCAACAGCCAGCGCCTCTGAAGAAGGCACCCATCTCTGAATCCTCTCCAAGTTCTCCGCATCCTTTTTTAAAACATGGAGCCGAAAACAACACAATTTAGATGAGGCCTAACCAGTGCCAAGCAGAGGCATGCTCCCATCCCATGTCTTGCACCTGATGCTTCTACTGATGCAGCCCAAAACCGCACTCACCTTTTGTGCAGCTGCATCACGCTGCAAACTCCCGTGGAGACTGATGCATGGAGATTCCCAGACCTCTCCCCGAATTTTCCCATCCAGCTGGGTGTCACCCAATTTGTATCTGCATTTTTGATTAGCCTCCCAGAAGTGCAACACCTTGCATTTGGCAGCACTGAACTTCATCCCATTAGCTAGTCACTAGGAGGTCACAACCTTATTCTATACTGTAAGCATCAGGCCCCCGATATGCATATAGGGGTCACTGCCAGCTGCAACGTTGCTCTTTCTGTGGCCTCCTCTCTGGGCTTTCTTACCTACTTACACGGCTGCACCCACAATCGCCACACTGGTAACTTACTGCTCTACTTCTGTACACGCCCCATCTTCCTGCTGCTTCCTAATCCATCTCCAACAAGGAAAACAAAACTGTCTGTGCAACAAGTAAGAGAGGAAGGTCTTGCAATGCTGACCATCAAGGAGGAGCAGGTGAGTGAGCAAAGGACCTGCCCCTGCCAGCGGGTCCAGATCACACCCCCAAGGCATGTGGGGGCACCCTCCCCCCCCACCGCTGCCTCTGCAAAGTCAGAGCCCAGGGCAGTGGCTGCATGGGACAGGGATAACGAGCTGCCGTGGTATCTCGCACCACCTGGCGGCCGTTCCACTCCAGGCCTCTCTCATCGGGTGACAGACCCGGGAGGCAGCGGGGAATCTGGAGTCAGT